AAGGAAGGAAGGAAGGAAGGAAGGAAGGAAGGAAGGAAGGAAGGAAGGAAAGAATCATGTTTACATAAAGAAGTGGATGAGAATGGAATGCAGTTCATTATAGCGATCCATTCAATTTTTTTTTTTTTTTAATTTTTAACGTTTATTTATTGTTGAGAGACAGAGAGACACAGAGCATGAGCAGGGGAGGGGCAGAGAGAGGAAGAGACCTAGAATCTGAAGCAGGCTCCAGGCTCCGAGCTGTCAGCACAGAGCCTGACGTGGGGCTTGAACTCACAAACTGTGAGATCATGACCTGAGCTGAAGTCAGACGCTTAACTGACTGAGCCACTCAGGTGCCTCTCCATTCAATTCTTTAAACAATTTCTGAGTTATTTACTTAAACCTCATAGTGATCTATTAACAGAAATTATTAATGATCTCTCAACTGTCAACTCATTAGGACCTCCTTCAGTATTTTTCACACTGGTCCAGTTACTTTATTTTCTTAATTTTTCTTTCTGGATGTATATAATGAGAATAACTTTTAGTTTGCGGAGGTAATGTGAAGATTACATTATAGTAAATGATCAGTAAATCTGACACATGGCATTTATGAGTGATTCTTATATACCTGACACTGTACTAAATCCTTTTTAATTACGTCATTTAACTCCTCCCCACCCAAATATTTGAAAATGATTACTACCATTTTACAGCTGATAAAATGAAGTTCAAATTGTTTGCCCAAGGTTACCAGTGTTGAAACTAGCAGGACCACCATTGCAACCCAGATTTTTCTGAATCCAGAACTTAAGTTCCTATTTCTCCACGCTCTGTGTATTGAGAGCTTATTTTTTTCTTAGCAATAACTAAGGAATGTTTTAAATTTCCTTCAATTTTCCTGAAGATAAAGAATTAGCATTTGACTTGCATATCTATTTTTTCTAAAAGATTTGACCAAGATTTATGAAATGAGTGAGAGGGATTAAGAAGATGGAAATAGTGGTAATTCAAATAGATACTCAACTAACATAATATCTTTTGTACATTCTGCTAAAACCTGCAGCTCCAGATTGAGATTATTCAATTGATAGGGAATAACTACCATATTACCTAATTGACAAAGTCAGTTCTGATTTGTCAAATCAGCCAAGTAAGACTTACTTTCTATCAGAAACTATCACTTCATTTTTCCATTCAAATAGATGTGTTCCTGATTATTCCAGTGGCACTTCTGAGTTCTAAAGTAGATAGATATCATGAGTTTGTCTCCTGGATGAAATAAGATGCTACCATTTTTAACGTTTCTTACCAACGCCTTTTTCTGTTGCTTTCACAGAGCTCTTTTTACTTCTTTGCTCTCACATTTTTTAACAAGGTAGGGCCTGGAAGAGATGTGGTTGCTAAGCAAAACTTGCCCTTTCTTCCATTGCCTGTCTATTCAGTGTCTGCACACAGATCATTCCAACAAAAAGCAAAACATCAATTTCCGAGGGACACCACACACTTAAGAGAAATTTGTTTCAGACACAGAACACAGAGCCCTCCTGGGCTTACAGTTCCTCAGTCAGAGGAAGTTCCCTCGTGCCAGTATTTCACATTTTTTGTTTGAAACCATGGAGACTTGCTCTCCTAGGCAGTATTCTTACAGGGAGATTCTGAGAGGCCTCTCCCTTGTTAAATGGCAGAGGGCTATAATAAAAGGGGAGAGATCAAGATAAAAAGAGGGGTGCCTGGGGGGCTCTGTCCATTGGGCATCTGACTTCAGCTCAGGTCACGATCACTCAATCAGTGAGTTCGAGCCCTGCATTAGGCTCTGTGCTGACAGCTCAGAACCAGGAGCCTGCTTCGGATTCTGTGTCTCCCTCTCTCTCTGCTGCTCCCCGACTTGTGCTCTGTCTGTCTCTCTCAAAAATGAATAAACGTTAAAAAAAATTTTTTTAGAGAGATAAAAAGATGCATCATCAACCAAATCAATTTGAAGTGAGGTTACATGAAGAAGTTGAGAGTTGTGGGTGGATAATCTTAAAATTAGCCATACCTTCCCACCATGTGTAATCCACTCTCTGTAGCCCCCGGGCCCGCATATGCCCCGTGCCCCACTTTGCAAGCTGCCGGTCTACACTGCCTACCTCTGCTGCTGCTTTCCACTCCCTGCTTCTTCAGTCTAGGGCCCTTCTGTCTTGTACTTCAGTCAATACTGAGAAGTCTACAATGAATCTCTAATTGATGAAGCCAGTTGCCTTTGCCCAGACCTCATCCTACTAGATATATTTGAAAATGTGAGCACCTGTCCCAGCTAAGAAGAAAGAAAATAAGGGATGTCGGAGAAAGAACAAAACTGAAAGGAACAGAACTCTCTTAGCGTATGGAATATGCCACTGTATATCCTGAACAGGCCTTGAATTTGATCGCTTCGGTGCCATTACTTTTCTGGTTTGCCCTTGTTCTCGCTTCAGCCTGGCAGGGCCCTTCCTATTCCCGTCCGCTCGTTCGGGTTTCACAGACCCACGCATCCGTGAAACTCTAACCAGGCTCCTAGGCAACGATGGACTTGCTCTTCCTCTCTCAGCCGTGTTCTTGGTTTGGACTTTGTGGCACATCGCAGGATGCTTCTCATTATGGTTATTTAAACATGTGTTCCCCCTCTGTCTTGCTTGTGAGTGTGTGTGGCGGTAGTTAGTAGATACCTTCATTTTGGCTGATTGAATTTGCCCCTGCTACGTATTTGCTTCATAGATGCTGTCTTGGTTTTGGCAAAAATTGTTAGGGTTTGTAAAAAGCCCTCCCTAGTGTTCATCATAATCATTTTGTTCATGATCGTATTCTGTCCGTAGTCTATACCAACAAAGATTTTCACTTCTACTCTCTTGCTCTCCCCAGGAATCAAAAAGATCAGAATCTCTTATGGACATTCATCATAAGAAATTAAAGACTAAGGCTGCTGAAGAGAAAAATAAGCCCCAAGAACGAATACCATTTGATCGTGATAAGGATCTCAAAGTTAATCAGTTTGATGAAGCTCAGAAAAAAGCCCTGATAAAGAAATCTAGAGAACTAAACACCAGATTTTCGCACGGCAAAGGCAGTATGTTTTTATAAGTAAGTATACTTCAGTGAGGTATAGTTTCAAACTGATGAACTTGAACTTTTCTATATAATCTGTTATCTGCGAATGATTGCATGTAAAAATCTATTCCCTTTTATAATAAAGTAGATTATAAACCTTAAAATCTTTTTCTATAAGTAAACGGTGATTTTTTTTTTTTTTTTAATATTCAGCCTTGTGTGATAAAAAATGTAGTTTACTGGAAAAGTAGCCTTGTCCTCATAATAACCTAACCAGGCATTGCCATTAAAGACACTAAAATTTAAGTTTAGTTTAGAAGAAATGGCAAAGGAAAGAGTGGTTTGAGGCTGGGGTAAATGTGCATGCTTTTTTTGTTTTTTTTAAGTTTATTTATTTTGAGAGACAGAGGATCCCAAGCAGGCTCTGCGGTGACACAGGGCTCGAACCCATAAACCACGAGATCACTACCTGAGCCAAAATCAAGAGTCAGATGCTTAACCTGCTTAGCCACCCAGGCACCCCAATATGCATGCTTTTTTAAAGAATGGACAAAGGAAATGTGTTTGCAGTCTCTGTGTTAAATACGATCATAGGACGTGTTTAGTGCTTTGAAAGCTTCTCTATGAGTTAAGGTTCAAAATGATTACATCCTTCATCCATAGCCCAATCTGACAAGGGCTCATAATGGTGATTAAGGAATTATGTAAAAGCTGAGGTTGCTTCTTAAAACCTTTATCATTTTTAATTGTATGAAACCTACATCAATATTGAATTGTGGCTTTAAAGGAAAATACAGGAGTGCCCGGCTGGCTCAGTCAGTGGAGTATGCGACTCTTGATCTCAGGGTTGTGAGTTTGAGCTCTACACTGGGTGTAGAGGGTACCTAAAAATAAAATCTTGGTGTGCCTGGGTGGCTCAGGCAGTTAAGCCTCTTACTCTTGATTTGGGCTCAGGTCATGATCTCAAAGTTTGTGGGTTTAAGCCCCGTGTTGGGCTCTGCACTGGTCACGCAGAGCCTGCTTGGGGTTCTCTCTTTCCCTCTGTCTGCCCCTCCCCTGCTCTCTCTCTCTCTCTCAAAATAAATAAACTTTAAAAAATAATAATAAAATCTTAAAAATAATAAAGGAAAATATAGTTAAAGTTAGAAATATTTTCCAACTTACTGAACTTTCTTATTCTTACTGCAGGGGGATTTCCCTGTGCAATGAAGAAAAGTTGAAGAATACTCTATTATCTGTCTGTCCACCTTCATTCCTTTGTTTTGAGTTTAAGATTGGAGATTATTTTAGTCTTAAAAGCCATACAAACTTACCTTGTGCTGTCCTTTACCTTGTCCTTTAAAGTCACGTGGAAACCTGAAGTCAGTATGTCTTACGTGGAATAGAATTTCATGTGCTTTTGGCTTCTGAGTGTGGGCTTTTCTTCAAGTAATTATTTTGAGGATTTCCCCCATCTCCTAATTTGTGTGACGTCTCTTAAGTACCCTCTAAGGTCTGGTCAGGACTATCCGCTAAATCTCCACAAGAGCTTAGACTTCCTCGTGAGATACTATTAACCTGCCCTGGAGTAAGTGTGTCGGGTCCTTGCAGTAAGTCCATGAATTGGAAGTTATTTGGGTTTTCCCTCTAAACTTCAGCCAGTGAATGCACATTTACAAATAGAGGGTTTGGAGGTTTTGTCCTGTTAACATTTTGCTTGTTTGGGCAAACGGGGCTTTTTGTCTGTTGTTTGGGTTTTTGTTTTTTCGTTGGTTGGTTGGTTGGTTGGTTGGTTGGTTGGTTGGTTTTTAAGTCAGAAAGAGGGACCTCTGCATTGTCTCATGTGCTAAGGAAAAACTATTTCGATTTTTCCAACTTTAATAAGTATTTCTAGGGGAGGCAATCTGAGGGACAAAATATGCCATTAACCATTAACAGTGTGAAGCCTAGGACTTGGTCTCTATGGTCTCAATCAAAGCTTTCTAAGTCTTTGAACTTTGCTTTGAGATGATCTAACTTAACCCATTTGTATTTAACAGATTTTAGCTAATTTATTGGGGACTGATCTTTTATATCAATCATGAATATTTTTTTAAAAAAATCAAAATTAGCCCTGAATACAAAAATATAAATGGAAACTCTAATCATAACCACTCTAATGAGAGTATATTAGTTTGTAATGCTTTAGGTACTGTTTCTTAAAATGTCAAATAGAGCATTCTAAATAGTTAAGGCCTAAATCCAAGTCCTCTAAATTATGTTTTCTTACAGAGTAATCCTGATTGTTCACTAGTTCTGTGTCCTAGTTTTGATGAAGTATGAGGAGTTTTGTTTTCTGTGGGGAAAAAGAACACAAACCAGAGACTAGGTGGGAAGTGTGGGGTTTTAATGGAAAAAATTATGATTCCTAGGGTTTTTTTAGGCATTATGAACATTGAGTGAACTGTTCAGATTATGGCACAAATCAGTCTTCTTTACTCTCTTATAATACCAGTGTAAGATATTATAGCCTACTCGAGGAGTGTTGCTATTAAATAGATGAATTAAGGGTGCCTGCGTGGCTCAATCAGTTAAGCGTTGGGCTTTGGCTCAGGTCATGATCTCGCAGTTCATGAGATTGAGCCCCACATTTGGGCTCTGTGCTGACGGTGCAAAGCCTGCTTGGGATTCTCTCTCTCCCTCTCTCTCTGCTCCTTCCCTGGTCACACACGCGTGCTCTCGCTCTCAAAGATAAATAAACTTTAAAAAAAAAAAAAAAGATGAATTATTCTCCTAAGGAAATTGAAAAAGCTTCTTGTCTAAGCAAAATTGAACTAAAGATGTCATTTTTAGTGGGTAATGCCTTCTGAACACAAAACTTTGTGTAAAAGCATCCATTGCTCTCATTTAATTTGGTTATATTTTTTTCCTTGGTGAAATGAAGAAATGTTTTCCAGTTCCTCATCCTTAAATAAATTTCTAACATTATGTCTTAGGGAAACTTGGTATTTTTTTAAAGTAAAAATGTCACCGTTGGTTACTTATTTTTCCTTGCTTTATTCATCTTAAAGGGATAGGATGTTTCTGTATCGCATATTTACTATTTTTTTCTCTCACCCTTGAGTGTCTTTGTCCTTAGCAAAAGGAAGAAAAACCTTTTCTTTCTGCATAATGCCTTCCACAAGTTGCCAGCTTACTGCCGCTTTAGATGTAATGCTCTTTCATGCCACCTGAGGACAATTTTAATAAAATATAAGGCCAGACCAGAGGGTTTTTTGTCCCTCTGAGAGATTAAGCCCAATATAACAACACTGATAATAAAAGAACAGAGTTGCTATTTACACAGGATACAAAGGTGCTCATGTCAGCCCCTCCCCCTTCCAAAGTGGTAAAAAGCCTAATTAAGTCAAGTCTCCATCCATCTGGAGGGAAATTGGCATTGTTGACATCTTCTAGTAAGAACTTTTTAAATACCTACATTTCTTGGTCAAGTTTTATAGAACTGTGAAGTCTTTTGAAACCTAAAAATGAAGAGGGGCGCTTGGGTGGCTCAGTTGGTTAAACGTCTGACTCTTGACTTTGGCTCAGGTCATGATCTCACGGGTTCATGAGATTGAGCCCTGAGTTGGGCTCTGCGCTGACAGCACAGAGCCTGTTTGGGATCCTCTCTCTCCCTCTCTCTGCCTCTCCCCTGCTTTCACGCACATGTACACACGCTCGCTCTCTCTCGCTCTCTCCTCTCTCTCCTCTCACAAGCTCTCTGAAAATAAATAAATAAACTTTAAAAAAGATGAAGAAGAAAAAAGCAATACTAAGTTCAAAAGGTGAAGCAGATACTCCAACTTTCTTTATTGTTGAAGGTGACATCTAAGTTCAGTGTATCTGAAATTATATGATTTTTGTCTGCCTGTATAAAATGTCATCTCGGATAGATTTAGTTGCTTCCACTAGTAACCACAAAAAAAAAAAAAAAAAAAATAAAAAAAAAAAAGCCATGGTCTTACTAAGAGTTTTTAATCGTGTTTGGATGTAGCAACCATTTGACATTTAATTCATCTCTTGAAATTTTAATGGTTCTATGAATTAACGACTTGTTTTAGAAGTGAGATTGAGATTTACCTGATACTGAGGCTTACATGCTCCAGAATAGATTAATACTTATTCTATAAATTATTTGGTCCCCAAACATTATGACGCTTTATATTTCTTACATAGGGTGGATAATGTTAATATTATTACTCAGAAATGTGTGATCTTGGGAGATAGTTTTCTAACTATTTACAAGAGTCCTTGTCATGTCTCTTTCACTTCTTACATGGTACTAAGTATTGTTAGAAAACAATTCACTGTTAATGTATCTGAGAAGAAAAATTAACATAGAGAGAAGTGGTCAGAGATAGTGCCTGTGCTAACATCAATGCCAAATCTCCTCTATCATGATAGTAATTTTACTTTGGCCTTGAATGGCATCATGAGATTTAAGTGTGCAGTTAGAGGTCATGTATTTCCTATTATAGGGTAGGTGTATGTTTTTGTGGCTTAAAAAATTGTTTAACTGTGACTGTATTATGTACAAAATCAAAGAGCTATCCCACTGCCTCTTTGAATCTTTTCATTTTGAGCTTTACAATAAAAGACTTTTTAGAAAAGAATCCCTGATGTATAATTTTTTATGTACAAATAAAGTTTCATCTATATCTCAGGAGTTGTGGTCTTCTATTTTTGTTTTGTTTTGTTTTGTTTTAATGTTTCTTTTATTTTTGAGAGAGAGCACGCGCAGGGGAAGGCAGAGAGAGGAAGACAAAGAATCCGAAGCAGGCTCCACATTGACAGCAGGGAGCCCCGAAGTGGGGCTCGAACTCACGAACACAAGATCATGACCTGAGTTGAAGTTGCTTGCTCAACTGACGGAGCCACCCAGGTGCCCCAATTTTTGTTTTGCCTAAATAATATTAATTCATCTGGAGCAGGCAATATTAGTAAAGAGACTATTTCACAAAAATCTACTCTGGCCAACCAGAACATTTTAGGAAGATGGCTCACTTACCAGGTTTTCCTTATCCCAACATAACTACAAATAGTAATATTCCTTAGAAATTTAAGACAAATTGGAAATGCTTTTAAGAGCACCGTGGCACAAGAGGGGTCATCCTGGGTTATAACTAAGATTCCATTGTTCTGCATGTTGTAAGGTTCTATAACAGTTGGTGGTGTTTTCAGGAGTGTTTTATTAGCAGATTGTTTTTTCTTTCTCTCCTTTCCAAATGCTTTGCAAAAGCATGTATTCTTTTATAAAATTTGGAGTGGGGCATTATCCCCCCTTTTTTCAAGTCCTAATTTTGTATTACATATGCTTCTTTAGGGAAAGCAATAAGGAAAGTCTCTCTGAGATATCATTTAAGCTGAAACCCAAAAAATGAAAAAGGTTTGGGGCACCCGGGTGGCTCAGTTGGTTCAGTGACCGACTCAAGTCCTGATCTCACAGTTCATGAGATCGAGCCCCGAGTCAGGCTCCGCACTGACAGCATGGCACCTGCTTAGGATTCTCTCTCTTCTCCTCTCTCTCTGCCCCTCCCCCACTCACACTCTCTCAAGATAAGTAAACTTTAAAAAAAAGAAAGAAAGGAAAAGGTGCTAACAGTGTGAAAAGTGACTGACCGCACAGGCGAAGGCCTTGAAGTGTTAATTCTGAGGTGTTTGAAGAACCGCGCCAGTGTGGGTGGTATGTAAGAACTATGGGGGCTGAGGGTTGGTCCTTGCTACCGGTGCTAGGAATCCCACATAAGGGCATCTAACCCAGTTTTAGTAGATCGAAGGAAGCCTCCCAGAGAAGAATATACTTTAGCCAAGTCATAAACACCAGAGAGGAGTTACCTAGGTGGATTCTAATACCAAAAATCTGCCCACCTGGCCTTCTAGAATTTCCCAAACATGCCTGAGTTCACCCTTTAGGCCCTTGTTCTGAAGACTGTATGTACTCCATTAATAATGGTCATCAGCAGAAAATCAGTGCATTGAACTTGTGCCCACACCTGTCACCGAAACTGTAATTATTTTAAGCAGATCTGGGTTTTTCTCTTTTGTCAAAATGTGTTATAAATTATTATTCATTTCCTTCTCCTAGGCCTAATTATTAAGGATGATGTACATTCTTTTAAAGAGCTCAATAGCACCAGAGGAATGCAACAGATACCAATTGAGTAATTAATCTTTAGAGTTCCAGGACATGGAAGGACATTTTCATTTAGGGACAAGAGTACAGTAAATCCATCTATTTCTTAATTTGTAATCCTTGAGCCACCATCAAAATCACCTGAGGTCGGGGGGCCGCGCGGGTGGCTTAGTCGGTTAAGCCTCAGACTCTTGGTTTTGGCTCAGGTCATGATCTCACGGTCATTGGAGAATTCAAGTTCAAGCCCCACGTTGGGCTCTGCGCTGACAGCGAGGAGCCTGCTTGGGATTTCTCTCCCTCCCTCTCTACCCCTCCCCTGCTCATGCTTGCCCTGGCTCTCTTTCCTTCTCTCTCTCAAAAGATGAATAAATAACCCTAAAAGGCATGGTGGGGAGCCTGGGTAGCTCAGTTGGTTGGGCACCCAACTTCAGCCCAGGTCATGATCTCACCGCTCATGAGTTTGAGGCTCTGTGCTGACATAAGATAAGGTATTTAGTTGTAAAGTTTTCTCTTCGTACCATCCATGTGCTGAGACAAAAACAAATGTGCTCCTTTTATCACTGGGCACAAATGCCCTCACTAACAAGTTATGCTAATTAAGAGCATAAACATTGGAAACAGCAGCCTGGAATCCAATCCTGGCCCTGCCACTGGCTGTATAGACTTGAGAAAGTTCCTTAAGCTGTCTCAGCAGTAATTGGTCTTAAGATGAAACCAATAATACCTCACAGGGTGTTACGAGGATTACAGAAGATGATACATAGAAACAGCACAAAATCCAGCAATAAATGATGGTTGTGACTGTAGACCCCTGGATAATAAGCCCACTCAGACAACTTTTGGAGACAGATCTGCTTACTTCTTACGATCTCAGAATAGTCCTATATTTACCAGGACTCTTGGCAACAAGTGAGAGAAGCCTAATTCAAACTGGCTTAAGCAAAAAAGGATAATTTATCCCTTCGTGTAATACAAAGTCCAGAGGGTAGCCCTGGCTTTAGAGACAACTGGATCTGAATGCCTAAACTATGCCATCAGGATTCTGTCCCTATCCCTCAGCCAGCTTTCCTTTGTGTGGACTTCATCATTAGGTCGGCTTCCTAGTCGATGACAGATGTGGATAGCGGCACCTCTAACATGACATCCTACCATCTTAGCAACCCAATGAGAAGAAAACTTATTAAATCCAGCGAAAGCCCAAGGACTGATGCCAACTGGCTGTAAGGACAAGCTACGGTCATTTGTTCATCCCCGAATCGGTCATATGGTCAGGAGACACAATACCCGATGACCCAGGCTGGTTCGCACCCCCTCTTGTGGAGCTAAACCCTCCCCAACCACACAGACTTCAAAGTTGGGAGGGCAGTTCCCTAAAAGAGAATGGAGGTGCTGTAGCTGGAAACAAGGTAGCACACGCTACAAAGGCAGAAACATCTGATGCTTGCTTTAGCCCTCATCTGTTTTCATCCCCACCAATTTTCTAATGAGAAAACCAGTGGTCTGCCAAAATGGGATATCACCACCTACCTGTCAGTTCTCCCCAGGTTATCAGTATTAGTGTCTGGCCATTGTGAATCTCCTTTGCATCAGCTATCGTCTAGTCCAGGTCTCAGGGTTATGAGTCTGTGTTGGGGGAAGCGTGGGGAGGGCGCATCCATGCACTGAAGTGCTTTAGAGATGCCTGAGACAGGTAAGGTTCCGCCCGGTAAGACAGCTCTGCGTGTCTCCTACTTACTGGCTTCCATCGAATCCTCTGGATAATACAATTCAATACACAATACAATTCAAAATGATTCATTTAGCCTTTTCTATTTACAAACAAGACGAGAAAAAAGAAATGAAAAAATATAAGGAATTGCCAGCTTCGACCCAATCAATAACAAGGAAGCTTGCCTGACATTGCTAATTAATCATGTATCTTGGATAGAAGGTGTTCAGTGTCTGGGGCAGCTTGTGAGAGGGGTTAACCAAAGTTGGGGCCACAAACCCCCAAATCATAAAACGAGGTGGAGTCAAGAAGGGAGATGGGAGAGTCTCACATTCCTCTCCTGAGCACTGGAGGTCTGGGTCTGGAGAAGTGCCAGGGGTAGTGGCTGCATCGCGGCCCCCAAAAGTCACATCTACCCGGAGCATCAGAATGTGACTGGTTTGGAATAAGGGTCTTTGCAGATGTAGTTAAACTCGGGATCTCAAGATGAGATCATCCTGGATTTAGGGTGGGTTCCATCCAACGACAGGTACCCTTCTTAGCGGAAGTGATACCCTCCACAAGCCAAAGAACTTTACAAGCCACGAGAAGTTGTAAGAGGCGAGGAACAATTCTCCCCTGGAGACTTCAGAGGAAGCGTGGCCCTGCTGACACCTTGATTTCGGACTTCTGGCCTGGGTTTTCTTTTTCTTACGTAGGTAACTATTTCTCAATGAGCTGTATTTGTACTGCCTCCCGAGCAGTTGCACTTCGATGGGGGCAGTAATCACATCAATTTAGGTGTTAATAATACAAATTATACTTTATGAGAGTATGAGCTTTGAATTCCCCGTTATAAAGAAGAGGGTTCAGGAGTCGTTTAGACCGACGCACCGTGTAGCTGTAGCCAAAAGAACACATTTTTTTTTTTTTTTAAAGCTCGTGGAGTACTGCGTGACGTAAGAGAGAAAGATACAAGGAAAAAAAAAAAAAAAGAGGTGCTACATTTGGACAAACCCGCCGTGTGCCTACCCAGAAAACGGTTTCTTGTTCTAATTTCTAGGCCTCAAGAAAAGACAGGAGAGAAGAGGGTCTAGAGAAGAACTGAATCGGTTAACTCCTGGCTACAAATAGTGATCGAGCTTCCCATGGTGTGTGAGACATTGGTCTAGAGATATAAAGATAAGTAAGATGTGGTCCTCAATTTCACAGTCTCACAGGAGAGACAGCACAGCTGTAATAGTGCAGGGGGGGAGGGCACAGGACAGAAGTGCACGGGATACTGCGAGACCACAGAGGAGAGGCCCCCGACCTGCTGAGAGCAAGGGAGGGGGCACCAGGGTGCTGGAGTGTGGTGTTGCTGCTGTCCTATGTGGGCCTAGGAGCGAGAGAGGCCAGTGTGAAAGGCAGGAGGCGTGGAGGGGAGGGGAAGGAAGAGTAAGTAACTCAGAGAAAATAATCCGGCAGAAAGGCTGGAGTGAAAGGGTGATGTATGGGACTGGCTTTGAAGAAACAGGAAGAGGAATCCCATGTCCTCCAAAGCAGAGAAAAGGAAATGAGGGTGGTTATGGGTATATATATATATATATATATACATATATATATATATATATCTCTAAGTTTTCAGGTAAAAGTTAAAAAGCTCAAGGAGATTATACCTAGCATACTCGATTTGCTGAGGGAGAAGTTTTCTGACCTTTTGGGGTGTTGGGAATCTGATGAACACTGTGGATATTTCACTTCTCACAGATTTTGACACAGAACTTCTGTGAACCAGCCTCTTGAATCCCTACCGTGGACTCCGGGTGAGCACCTGCCGTCTACCCAGATGAGGCAGGCCGTTGGCTGGGAGGAAGGGGCCAGAGCCTGGGAGGTTTGGAGGAGGGGCAAGTGAGAGGCCCCTAAACAGAGAGGAGCAGAAAGCGAGATGGGCGGTAACATTGGTCCAGGCTGCGCTCTGAGCCTCCGAGAAGTGCAAGGAAGGTCCATGAGAGAACACTTGGTCAATAGACACAGATTCGCGACGGGGTGGCCAAGAAGAGGCTGACAAACTGGGAGGGAGGGCTACGCGAAGCTAAAAGGGAGGAGACCTCACACTATGCAAAAACCCTTTGAGAATCCAGAGCACACACTCCCCTGTCGGAGGTGGGCATACCAATGAGCTGTTTGGATCTGTCATAATGGTCCTAACCTCTTTGCCCTTCATGGCCCCGTTGGTGCCTCCTCTGTACTTTCCTTTGCCACCTGCTCTTCCCCTCCACGGACAAACATTCTCAAGGCTCTCCCATTTTTTTTTAATTTTTTTTTTCAACGTTTATTTTTTATTTTTGGGACAGAGAGAGACAGAGCATGAACGGGGGAGGGGCAGAGAGATATTCCGCAGAATCGGAAACAGGCTCCAGGCTCTGAGCCATCAGCCCAGAGCCTGACGCGGGGCTCGAACTCATGGACGGCGAGATCGTGACCTGGCTGAAGTCGGATGCTTAACCGACTGCGCCACCCAGGCGCCCCGGCTCTCCCATTTTTAGAAATAAAACGGTAACAATGAAGCTTTCTTGGTTGGACAATGGGTTGGGAATGGGGTTAAAGCTCATCCGTCATAGAAAGTTCTGAAACAGACACAAATACAAAGAAGGCATTTCAAGTCAGTGAGAAAGAAAATAGATTATTCAGTAAGTGATGTTGAGACTCCTGGGTAGACATGTAGGGGGAGAATTGGGTTAGATCTCTGTCTCTCACTGTAGATCAAAACAAATTCCAGACAGATCACATATTTTATAATGTCAAAAAAGTGAAACCATAAAAGTACTGGAAGAAAATGTGAGAGAATTTACTTTTATAATCTCAGAATTGGATTGCCAAGAAATAAGTTAACACCCAGAAGCCTTAAAATAAAGCGTTGATAAATTGAACAATATTAAAAAAAAAATTCCGTATAGAAAGCAGTCAAAAGACATATGAATATTTGCAACTCACATCATAGACAAAAGCATAATTTCCTTAGCATTTGAATAACGGACAGAAGTCGATAAGAAACTCAACAATGGGGCGCCTGGGTGGCTCAGTCAGTTAAGCATTGGACTTCAGTTTGGTCATGATCTCATGGTTTGTGAGTTTGAGCCCCACTTCTCTCTCTCCCTCTCTGCCCCTCATGGGATTCTCTCTCTCTCCATCTCTCTCTCTGCCCCTTGCTCACTTGCACCCTCTCTCTCAAAAAAAAGTAATTCAACAACAACAAAAAATCAACAAGCCAACAAATAAATGAGCAACAAATATGAACACAATTCATACAAATAAAATAGTTTAAGCTTAAATATATGAAGAGAAACTCAACCTTGCTCATAAAAAAGAAATGCAAATTAAAACTACGGTAAGAAGTTGCTTTTCAATTAATAGATTCGCAAAAGTAAAAAATATTAAAATACCCCGTTGGCAAGAGTGGTAGGAAATGTGTTCTCCACATTGCTAGAAGGATGTAAAGTGGTGTGGCCTTTTTGACAACTTGTGAATATTCATAAAAATTACATACAACAGAGGGACACAGTCGGTTAAGCGTCTGACTCTTGATTTCCGCTCAGGTCATGATCTCATGGTTCCTGAGATTGATCCCCAAATAGGGCTCTGCACCGTCAGTGCTTGAGATTCTCTCTCCCTCACTCTCTGCCCCTCCTCTGCTTGCTCTCTAAATAAATAAATGAACATTAATTTTTTTTTAATTTTTTTTAATGTTTATTTATTTTTGAGAGCATGACAGAGCATGAGCAGGCAAGGAGCAGAGAGAGAGGGAGACACAGAACCCGAAGCAGGCTCCAGGCTCTGAGCTGTCAGCACAGAGCCAGATGCAGGGCTCAAACCCACAAACTGTGAGATCATGACCTGAACCATAGACGCTTAACCGACTCAACCACCCAGGTGCCCCAGAAACCCATATCCTTTTACTTCTGTGACCCTATTCCCTAGCTTTGTCTCCTACTGGTTATGCTTCATCTAAGTCACTCTATAGTATTAGGATGCAGCAAAGGTCAGAAGCCCAATTCAAATTAAGAGGCATTTGTGGGAGAAACTCCCCATCATTCAGAAGTAAACACAGAGCTCAGGAAGGGTGAGGGTGCCTGCAATCAGCGTCTCCAGCCCTGCGGACTCTTTCTTTTCTAAGTCTGCTCCCCTATGAGTTTCTGTGTCATCAACCTCAGGCCCCACAGGCTGATCTTCTCCATGTGGAAAAGAGCGTGGCCATTAACAGTTTTGAATTGGACATCTCACAGCTTTAGCCACACCAAGAACACTGCCTCCTTCTTTCGTTTCAGCACGCAAATTGCCAGGGAGGACAAACTGGCTCTCCCCCATCTCCACTCCAGGCCCTGGCTACTGGAGCAGTTCATCACGGCTGGTGCCATGCTCTAGGCCGCGGCTGTGACTCACGTCAACCGCCTCCTCTCCCGTGACCCACAGATGTCACACGAAGGGAGATGGCCTGCGGGACCGTGCTGCAGAAATTGCCTGCTGGCAGGTGAGCATCTCAGGTAGCATCTCCTCCATATAAGCTTCCCAGGTCCACCTCTTGAAAGGCTTTGAGCTGTGCAAAACCTCAGTACCCCCCGTGCATCAACACCTCCAGAAACTGACCTCAAGTGTGCTCCAAGATGGGGCGTTGGAGACCTAGTATGCTTGCTACATTTGGAAAGACGATTGTATTCTCCTGGGGTTCACCAACAGACCTGCCTGCTTAGCCAGACAGAAGGTCTTTGTGTCTTAAGGGTGGACAGGAGACAAAGGAGCAGAAGGCTTGCCTTTCTTCCTGGTTGAAGGTTGTTTGAGCTTCGAGGGAGAGTGAGCCCTCATATTTGGATTCTGATATTGAAAGCTCAGGATCTGGGCCTTCTGATGGTCTTTACTTGGGGGGGTGAAGGGTGACTCAGCTATCTACCCTCTCCTTGGGGACAGGGAAAACAGAGTACTCCCCACCCTGTCCCCAGGCCAGGGTATATGAATGCTAGAGCTGGGTATTGAAATTAAAAGAAAAATTTTTTTTAATGTTTACTTATTTTTGACACAAAGAGAGCATGAGCAGGGGAGGGGCAGAGAGAGAGGGGGACGGGGATCCCAAGTGAGCTCCGCACTGACAGCAGCGAGCCGGACGCGAGTCTCGAACTCACGAACCGCGAGATTATGACCTGAGCGGAAGTCGGTTGCTCAACTGACTGAGCCACCCAGGAGCCCCTGAAATTTAAAAATGTTTTATCTCCTAAAAAATAATAATTTCTAGGGAGGACTCAGGCTTGGCTTGGGTCAGCAGCCCACCCTTGGATCAATGAGCTGTAGCTGGAATGGAGGAGACACTTCTGTTCTAATCTGTGTTAGGTGCTCACTAGGCTGGATTGGTTTGAGGATGTCAATTCAAAATAACATGGCAGCTTCTTCAATAAACATGGGGGCAGGGGGGGCAGTTGTAGAAGAAGGACCAATGTTGAACAGTCAGTCCCATATGTCCACTACAGGCCTTCACAGGTGTCTTTTTGTTTACTTCCCTCTTAAATACGGTTGTTCCTCATAGTTGTCCTCTCTTCCCATTCTGCCTATTCTCCTATGATTTTGTTTTTTGTCTAGATACCCATGACCCTCAAAGCTAAATCTCCAGGCAGACTGCTTTCTTTAATTCAAAATCCCCTGCTTGCTGGACATATCCATGTGATGCTCCTAGGCCCTACATGACCAAATAGAATTCATTATTGGCTTTAAATTGAAATATGCTTGTAGAAGCAAAGAATATCTCTGGGAGAATACACAAGAGACCAGTAGGTGTAGCTTCCATGCTCCGACCTCTCCTAGATTCCCTTTTTTTTTTTTTTTTTTTGAAAGAGAGAGAGAGAGAGAGCAGAAGAAAGGGAGAGAGAGAACCCCAAGCAGGCTCCTCACTGTCAGCATAGAGTCTCATGCAGGGCTCGAATTCACAAACTGTGAGATCATGACCTGAGTGGAAATGAAGAGTTGGACACTTAACTGACCGAGCCACCCAGGGACCCCTAGATTCCCTCTTTCTGTGAACAGGCACCACCATCAATGAAGTCTCCCGATCCAGACCCCAGGAGTCATTCTTGAACTTAGTTATGAACACAACAGCATTAGAACAACCTTTGTAATTCATAAATTGGATTATGTTTCTCCCCTACTTAAAGTCTTTCAATGACTCCCTAGCCTTCAGACTCAAGTGCCCTGTCTTCAGACTAGCTCACAAAGCCTCTGCTGCAGGTGGGGGTATGTCTGTGCCTCCCTCCCAGCCTCTTTTTGTGCATCTCTGCTCACTCACACACCCCACCTTCTGCCCAGGGAACAACCTGGTCCTTCCAAGAGGTGCCTACCAACTCAGCCAATGGTGCTGTGCTGGATTGACTCTACTACTTATACCTTCTCAGGTTTTCCCACCAGCACTGTCTTTGTACCTGCTTCTGACCACAGAGTAGCAAGCATATGAGCCCAGATAAAGGTGGGTGTTACTACATTTTGTACTCCAGTTTATTTTGAAGACAGAATCCCCTGCTTAATGGAATATTGTCTTTATTTCATCCTTCATCTTTGAGGGACCGGTTCTTTGAACATCCAGCTCAAAAAGGCGCTCCGGTTTCACAGCTTCCCCGGCTTCCCCAGCTGGTGGGTCCCTCCCTCTGTCATGGTCCCATTTGCTTTTTTATTACCGGGAGCTATTCACCTGTTTTGCCCCTTCCCCACACCGCATGGTGAACTCTGTGAAGGCAATATCCTCTTCTTTCTTAGTACTATTTCTAGGGCCTAGCCAAAACGTAATGGATACCCTGTAACTTTGTGAGAAGGAAGGAGAGAAGGATGGATACGTGAATCCATGGAGGAAGACAATTTTTCCTTCCTAGATACTAACAGGAAAGCATTGGGGGGGTGGCGGGGGGAGCGGTTCCTACAGGATAAGGTAGAGCTAGAAATGTTAGAGATGCCACAAGGAGGCACTAGAATTCCACCTGGGCTCCCTCTGTCAAGAAAAGCCAGCTCCAATGACAGTGTCTTGACCTGGACTGGTGCCTTGTAACAGATGCCTGCCTGGTTGAGCCAAAATGGTCCAAGAGAGATGATTCGAAATGAGGAGCATGGGGGAAATCAACACAAGAAGGCTACAGCGCTGTCATGGCAGAGAGATGAATTGGTCACTCTAAAGGGACTCTAATGTGGAAGAATTCCCCCTCCACCTCTGGCCAACGTCCCCTCTGCCCCCAGGGAGCCAGATCCAGACAAGAGCGTATTGTTCCCTTACCCCAGTTTTCCTCCTCCACTAATTAAGCAAAATGCTCAGGCTCATAATATAGGGATATCTTTCTACCGCCACAATAGGTCCCCATTGAATCCTTTCTTCCTCATTCAATGATAGATTGCAACTGTCGCAAATATTATTACCATTTCCCCCTTTCCTTCCCAAGAGGTCACTGAAACTTTCATCTCAGACCTTCGGACCCTAGATTTCTGTGTAGGCTGGCGAGAGAGGGAAAAAAAAAAAATCCTTTGAAATTTCACATATATCTAACTCCTGCAAGGGACTGGGAAATGTAACCATGGAAACCAGAGCATGCCTGTAACCATAGAGACCCATTTAAACCAGCTGGGCCATTACCGTCTAGAAGCTGGTGGGGCTTGGCTGTTAGAAGGATAGTTAATATGGTCGAGTGATTTCAATTGTTTAGGTGAGAATTTTACAGATATTTTAAGCAATTTCTAGGTAGTGCCAATACTTTAAAATGTTCGAGAAAAAGCCTCTGTTAGACTAATTTCTAAAGGATCCTCCAAATGTCTTCTCCACCCTCTTACCACACCTCCAGAGCCATCACTTAATCAGACATTCATTCAGCAAACACATGCTAATCACCATGGTGTGCTGGGCACTCTCCATACATATATGGATCCCAGATAATATACTCTGTCTGTTCCATCAGCTTTAATGCTGAGCCAAGTCCTTGAATAAAGGGTCTATTTATCAAAAGCCTTCTTTACCACAATGCATCAGAATTTGGCTTTGTGGGAAGGCTGGGTGGCTCAGTCAGTTAAGCACCAGAGTTCAGCTCAGGTCATGATCTCAAGGTTCGTGGGGTTGAACCCCACATCAGGCTCTCTGCTTTCAGCGCTGAGCGCACTTCCTATCCTCTCTGTCCCTTGCTCGCTTTCTCTCTCTCTCAAAAATAAATGAACATTGGGCGCCTGGGTGGCCCAGTCGGTTAAGTGTCTGACCTCGGCTCAGGTCATGACCTCACAGATCGTGAGTTTGAGCCCTGCGTTGGGCTGTCTGCTGTCAGCACGGACCCCACTTCCAACCGATCCTCTGTCCCCCCCTCTCTCTGCCCCTTCCCCACTTGCCCTCCCCCATAAATAAATAAATAAATAAACAAACAAACAAGCATTGTGTTTCCAGTGAGATGTGAACTAGCCTTTTGTCACTTGGAGGAAACTTCCACTAGCCATTGTCACAGAAGTGCTTCACAAAGCCAGATCCTTCTGTCTGTCCTATGTCTTTTGTTCTTGCCCTGCACCACGGATAACCCCATCGCTGCCTGGCAACCACAGCTTCTAGAGCCTGGTGACAGTTTGGTTTGTGAGCTGCTTCGTGGTGTGTTTTGTACCCCATTGTGGTTAAAAGACAGAGCTGGAGTCAAATCACTTGTTCCTGCCAGCTTACCGGTGTGTGACCCTAGGCAAGTCACTGGAATTCTCTGAACCTCAAGCGTCCTCTCTAGGAACAGAAAACAAAGCCTGTCCCTTTAGGTTGTTTGGGGACAAGGTCACACAGGCTAACAGTTTTATCTCCTGGTCTTAGCTGCATCCCCCAGTATCACTCAGCAAACTTTTAAACTTTCACGTTCTTCGGTCCCTATTTTACTCAACCGTGCACCAGAGACCTTTTGGCTCAGCAGATAGCGATGGTGACAATGACAGCAGTAACAACAGCTGTTACACGCCGCCTGTTGTACACCTGTTCTAAGCCCTTCGCATATTGTAACTCATTTGATTCTCACAGCAATCCATTGCAGATTCTTGTCCTATCCGTTAGGCAGATGAGGAAACTGAGGCACATGGTGTTCGGGCGTTTGCTTCTCAGGGTCATAAGCTAGTGAACGGCAGGAAGAGAACGTGAACTCCAGCCGTGCCTCTGGAGTCTGCCCTCTCCACCATTATGTGGTAGCTGCCCTCTCTCCAGTGACTGTGCCAGGCCCTGGCTCACTGGGAATAGAGTCCATGGGCGCAGACCTCAGATGTCTCCTGTTCAACCCCTGCACTCGCCACACTACCCACATCTTCCTCAGCACCTGTCCCGACAGCCTTCCTCAATGTTTCTGAGGAAAGGATCAGCCTTCCTCTAATCGTCCACCCGCCCCGCCTCAAGTTCCTTGCTCCCCTGATTACTCCCCTTTTCCTCACCCCCAGTCCTTCCTCTCATCTGGCGCTTGCCTCTCAGTGGGTGGGTCAGTCCAAGGCTCTCTTATCTTATTAACAAAAAAAGAAAATGTGTCTCTCTCTGCTTGTCATCCTCTCCTTATACAGCCAAGCTCCTGGAAAGTTTCTACCTCGTCTAGGCTTCCTGACTCAAGCGCTCTACTGAAACTGCTCTCCCAGTGGCCCCTCAAACTTCTAGAATAAAGCACCTTGTTAAGGTGCTGATCCTGTTCATCCCTTGTTATGTTCCTTACATCTGGAGGTCTTTAACCTCTGTCACCTCTCTCTGGGGACTGTCCATGTCATGTCTGTATATTTAGCCATACCTTTTTCTGAATCTCAGAGCAGTTAATGAAAATGAAGGTGGATCATTGTGACCTAGAGGATCCTCAGGCTCCTCATGGTCGACGGCCCACTGCCATCCACCCAGGAGGCCATCCCCAAACCGGAAGTCGTCCTCCAGTCCTCGCCTCTCACCCATCTCACCAGGACCTCTTACATGTATATCTTAAATATCTCTTCTTTCTGTTCCTCGTCTCATCCCCTCCACCATTGCCTTGGGCCGGGTCCTCATCCTTTGCCGCCATATTAAAGTCACCTCCCTACCTTATGCCTCAAGTATAATGATATCAGCAAGGTCTTTCTAATATCAATCCATTGTTCAAAGTTCCTCAAGGATCCTCAATGACAACGTAATGAAAATGAATTCCTTATGCCTAACAAGGGAGGCCCTTCATGACCCTCCCTCTCTCCAATCTCATCGGTTGTCTCTCTGCGCCCCTAACCTCTGCCTTTCTAGCTCTGTGGCTACAATGCTGAACTCCAAATGTAGTAATGGCCCCAGGCATTTCACACACACTTCCTTGCTTAGCGCATTCCACCCATTCTTTCTAGAACTGCTCTCTCAATTTGTTTATCACCACCATCAACATGAGAAAGCACCTGCCAAATGCTGTCAATAACTGAACAAAAAGAGTTGACCATGCAGCAGACTAGCGCCACAGGGATGCATTAGTACAGATACCCATGTGTATGACCTAACCCAGTGGCACAGAGACATCCCCAATTCACACACCAGGTGACGGGTTGTACTCGGTGATTTCTAGGGTCTCTTCAAATTCTGACATTCTGTGAACAAAGGCATGAAACCAAGACATCCAGTCAAATCAACCAGCACATGAGCGCCTATTATGTGCGAGTTGTTTCACTAAATGCTATCATAAGTGGGTAAGAATAAACCCCGGTATTTAGATCAAAGATAAATCTAATTAAAGGCCATTTACATGTGAGATCGGGGTGGTCAAACAGGGAAAGACAAAGGAGGGAGCTCATTCCAGTGTTCGGCTAACACTTGTTAGGGCCCAGCTCCGCCAGGTTCCATGTCAGGAGCTGGGGCAAAACAACAAAACCATGTGCTTGCTGCCCTCAGTGCCTGGCCTCGGGAGGCAGACAGACATCCAGCCATCAAACACAAAAGGCAGGGGGGAAATGGTGTGATTGCTTCTTCCTAGAGAGAGAGAGAGAGAACACAGGATGGGGCATAGACCGGAAATAAATTTCCCAGGCGTGGCATTTGGTATGGCTCTTAAGGGGCTAAATAGTTTTTTCTTTTTTTTTTTTTTTCAACGTTTATTTATTTTTGGGACAGAGAGAGACAGAGCATGAACGGGGGAGGGGCAGAGAGAGAGGGAGACACAGAATCGGAAACAGGCTCCAGGCTCCGAGCCATCAGCCCAGAGCCTGACGCGGGGCTCGAACCCACAGACCGCGAGATCGTGACCTGGCTGAAGTCGGACGCTTAACCGACTGCGCCACCCAGGCGCCCCTAATGAGTTTTTTCAAGTGGGGAAGGGAGAGTTCCACAGCGAGAGAACAGAATGAACAGAAGAAGCACATAGAGTTCGCAGCTGTGGCGCCTTGGAAACCATTGATTTTCTCCAGGACGCGCACAACAACAGCTGAGCAACTTGCTCCAAACTCCAGGGACTCCTCCTCCGGGGCCCGAGTGGAGGGGTAGCGTGTAGTCCTGTGTGGCTGGAAAACACAACATTGGTTGCAAAGCAGGGAAATACAGCAGGGTCACAAAAAAGCCAACACAAATTTCTCAGGTATGCAGAAGGAAAAGCAATTTTGAATTTAATCTCTCACTGATCTAGCCTTCCTTCTCTGCCCTACCCCCACCTTTGCCAAGAACGGAAGTAACTAAGTAGCTAATACAATAATTTCACCATCCATGTAGGTAACATGTGTCTCTCAGTGGCTCACCTTGCCCTCTGCTTCTCTATCCAACAGAGCGCTGAGGGCTATGGTTTTTACAACCCCAGGATGTCCAAAAAGAGTTGGGGTCTTTTTTTTTTTAATTTTTTGATACATTGATTTATTTTTGAGAGACAGAGAGAGATAGAACACAAGTGAGGGAGGGGCAGAGAGAGAAGGAGACACAGAATCCGAAGCAGGCTCCAGGCTCTGAGCTGTCAGCACAGAGCCCAACACGGGGCTCGAACCCACAAACTGCAAGATCATGACCTGAGCTGAAGTCGGACGCTCAACTGACTGAGCCACCCTGGCGCCCCAAGAGTTGGGGTCTTAAGCTATGATAGCACCTCTTTCCCCTTGGGTGCTGCCTGCCATGCTGACATTTGAGGCTGAAAGTCCATGGTTACTCTGGTCTAACTTAGCCGGACCCAGCCAGCCAGCAGCACTCTCGACTCTGGGCCCCCCACACTCAGAGGTCTGGGATTTCCAATCAAGTCTGGCTTGGGTGCTCTTCCCTACACAGGTCTTCGCTGTAGAACAACCTCCTCACCACATCTTGAGCTCCTCAGCTAAACTCTACATTTCACCTGTGCCACACTGGAATCAAGGACATCTCTGGCCATTAACTCTCAGAGATCCCCTCTCCTTAAGCAAGATGAATAGTTGCACCCAGGAGCAATTCAAAATATTTACATTTCTTAAATGTTTGTTTACTTATTTTGAGAGAGAGAGAGAGAGAGCATGAGCAGGGGAGGGGCAGAGAGAGAGGAAGAGAGAGAATCCCAAGGAGAGATGTCAACACAGAGCCGGATGCGGGGCTCAATCCCACGAACCACGAGATCATGACCTGAGCCAAAACCAAGAGTCAGACGTTCAACTGACTGAGCCACACAGGCGCCCCGCAACTCAAAATATTTCAAAGCCCTTGAAGAGATATCTGCACCCTCATGTTCATAGCGTTTTTCACTACAGCCAAGATGTGGAAGGGACCCACCCAAGTGTCCATGGATGGATGAATGAATAAGGAAAATGTGGTATGTACATACAATGGCATGTAATTCAGCCTTTAAAAGGAAGAAGATCCTGTCAGGTGCTGCAAAATGAATAAACATTTAGGGTATCGTGCTAAGTAAGACAAATGCAAAAGGACAAATACTCTAGGTTTCTACTTACACGAGTTCTCTAGAGCAGTCAGATTCACAGAAACAGAAAGGGGCTGGAGGAAGAAGGAAAAGGGGAATTTTCTTTAATAGATACCGAGTTTCAGATTTGCAAGACTAGTAAATTCTGGAGATCTGCTGTAGAACGATGTGAGTACTTAATACTACGGAACTACACTTAAAAAGGTTAAGATGCTAGGAGCACCTGGGTGGCTCAGTCGGTTAAGCGTCCGACTTCGGCTCAGGTCATGATCTCGTGGTTTGTGAGCTCGAACCCCACGTTGGGCTCTGTGCTGACACCTCAGAGCCTGGAGCCTGCTTCCGATTCTGTGTCTCCCTCTCTCTCTGCTCCTTCCCTGTTTGCCCTGTCTCTCAATAATAAATAAACGTTAAAAAAAAATTTTTTTTAAAAGGCTAAGATGCTAAATTTTATGTTATGTGGGTTTTTTTTTTTACCACAATAAAAAACCCCAAAATATTTTTTAAAAAGTTAATGTTTATTTATTTTTGAGAGAGAGACACACACAAAGCACAAATGGGGGAGGGGGCGAGAGGGGGGGGGGGGAGACACAGAATCCCCAAGCAGGCTTTACCAGGAACGGTGAGATCATGACCTGAGCCAAAGTCGGATGCTTAACCGACCGAGCCATGCAGGTGCCCTCAAACCAAAACATTTTAAAAACCAGTAAAGCATAAACACCACACAATCCAAATGGACACTGGTGTTTACTAACCGGATCAGGCAATCAGAATGGGCTGTGAACCACCAGGACAGCTCCACCAGCGCAGACTGGCACAGGAGCACCCTCAAAGGCCTCCGGCCCCCGCAACTTACCTACATTCCATCTCCGGTCCAAACCCATTCCCGCCCACCCTCCTCTCCTATCTCCCGCTCCTCTTGTTCTCCTCTCCATAATTTCTCATGCCTGAGAAGACTTTTCTTTCATTTATCGCTCATAGTTTTTAGGTGCAAGGTACAGAACCAACTCTGGCAGAGTGAAGGGGCAAAGGGACTCATCAGAAGGCACTGGAGGGCCGGCAGGATCCCTGGGAGAGCCAGAACCAGGCGCCGAGGCTCTGCAGTGGGGAACAACGCTCACAACAAGGCTTTAGAAACACTGCTGTTGCTATGGACACTGGACCCCGCAGGTTCCTCCACTGACAACACTGGACACCGTATGCAGCCAAGGTCCCTGTCATCACCCAACACCAGAACACCTGCTTCTTCCAAGTCCCAGCTTCCTAATCAATGTCAAGGTACATGTATATATCTGACTGGCACATGCCTCACTTATATTCAAGGGAAGCTAGGAAAGCAAGTACCTGTGATAGTCTCGTTTCTTTTTTTAAAGTTTATCTATTTATTTTTGAGAGACACAGAGAGAGCACAAGCAGGGGAGGGGCAGAGACAGAGGGGGACAGAGGATCCGAAGCGGGCCTCTGCTCTCTGACAGCAGAGAGCCCAGTGCAGCGCTTGAACCCACAAACCGTGAGATCATGACCTGAGCTGAAGTCAGAGGCTTAACCAACTGAGTCACCCAGGTGCCCTGTGTCTGATATTTTCTGATTCCATAGCGGGTGTGGTCTCTGGTCAAAGAGAGAAAAGGGCTTCAAAGTTGTACAGTCAGTATGACTATCATGCTATAGACTCCCCTCACATCTTATTTTCCTACTTTATGGTATTATTTGCCTCTCTGTCCTGGAAATTAGGCTTGCCAGGCTTAGCAAATAAAAATACAAGATGCCCAGTTAAATTTGAATTTCAGATAAACAAATAATTTTTTAGTGTCAGTATGTCCCGTACAGTATTTGGAACACATTTATGTTTAAAAACTTTTCGGGGCACCTGGGTGGCTCAGTCGGTTAAGCGGCTGACTTCGGCTCAGGTCACGATCTCGCGGTCCGTGAGTTCGAGCCCCGCGTCGGGCTCTGGGCTGATGGCTCGGAGCCTGGAGCCTGCTTCCGATTCTGTGTCTCCCTCTCTCTCTGCCCCTCCCCCATTCATGTTCTGTCTCTCTCTGTCTCAAAAATAAATAAAAAGTTTAAAAAAAATTTAAAAAAAAAACTTTTCATCATTTGCCTGAAATTTAACAGGGCAACCTGCATTTTTTTTTAATTTTTTTTTTTCAAACGTTTATTTATTTTTGGGACAGAGAGAGACAGAGCATGAACGGGGGAGGGGCAGAGAGAGAGGGAGACACAGAATCGGAAACAGGCTCCAGGCTCTGAGCCATCAGCCCAGAGCCCGACGCGGGGCTCGAACTCACGGAGCGCGAGATCGTGACCTGGCTGAAGTCGGACGCTTAACCGACTGCGCCACCCAGGCGCCCAGGGCAACCTGCATTTTATCTAGCAACCGTCCTTGGGGTTCTTTTCTATATGACCCTACACTTTGCTACACTATACCAGGGCCTGGTTCCTAGGTACGCTAAAGATGTTAGCGTGCAAAATCCATATTCAAGACAGGCCTTGACTGCCTAATCCTGGTTTTAAATGCCAAAAAATGGAAATTACCCAGCCTTTCTCTTTGCACCCATAACAGATTTTCATCTCCTTCAAATCAGATACATGCCTAGAACCAACTAAGGGGAAAATTATGTCCTTGGGAAAGCAAAGAGAAGCACATTAATATTCTAAAAACAATCACCCTGTTGCAGTAAGAAAAGGTGGAGTAAGCAGTGCAGAAAGATGGGCTCTCTCAAATTCTAGGACCTCAAGCTGACTCTGACTCACATTTAACAGGGCTTTAACAGGAGGTGAAACTATAAAGCAATGAAACTGGTCTTCATGTGCTGTGTATGGAAATGCGTCTTGTGACTCAATGATTACTGCAGCTCTCACCTCCCACGTGGCAAGGTGGATCCGTTACCCAACTGTCAATTTGTTCCTTTGATGTGCAAAGGCAAATGATTTTCAAAGCCACCACATTTCCATTTCCATATATTACAGAAAATTACGGGACGATTTTGTAACGTTACCTAAAATCATAGATAACGCAAATAAGGGGCACAACTTTGTCAAATTCTTCTAAAGCAACACACACAAAGCTCATTCACTTGGGTCTCACTGAAAGAAAAAATTAGACCTTCCCAAACCAATGTCAGCTTTGTCTGGGCTGCCAGCTGAACCACAGTGGGATAGTTCCAAGCCCCCCCAAAATAAATGGTGTGTCTGAGGGCTGATGCACATGTTACAATATATTTTACTAGCCAGCCTGGGTCCTTGGGAAGAGAACTGATTTACGTATTTGCTTAAATTAAACCTTGTTTGCGATTCCTCTATTTCGGAGCTTTTTGCACGTTGTTCCCTCCTCCTAGAACCCTCTTCCTTGCTTCTTCTAGTGAATCCCTTAGACCTCTGCCTCGGGAAAAAGTCAATCTTCTGACCCCTCCGACGGGATCAGGACTCCTCTTTATAGTTTCCCAGTTTGCTCTACCATTGTTTATTAGGATATAGTTTATTAGGATATAGTTCTGAGAGTTGGGGGGTAGTGTCTTATCTCCTTGTCTTCCTCAGCAATGACAGTTTTAGCTGCTCATATACCAGCCCCAGACCATTTTTCCCAGCCTCCCTTGCAGCTAGGTGTGGCCATGTGACTAGCATCTAAGCTAATAGGAAAAGTTCACCTTCGAGTGAAGTCTCCCCTTTCCTTTTTCTCTCTCTCACAGGCTGGAAGGCAAGTAGGTGAATGGTCTTCACCCTTGCAGGGATAAAGGGATGAAAAGAACTTGAGTCTCCATCACCAAGAGCCATCAGACCAGCCCTCGACTGACGGTCAGGGTTATTACTTGAGAAGTTACACTATTTTCTTATTTAAGTCACTGTTTTGTGTCTCTTATTAAAGCAGCTAGCTATAACCAGCAAATGCAGAGTTGAACCCAGGGCCACGTGACCCCAGAGACCAAAACCTGAACCACCACAATATGATGTTTTTTGTTTTTTTCTTTAAATGTTTATTTAGTTTTGAAAGAGAGAGAGAGAGAGAGCACACACACATGAGCAGGGAGGGGCAGAGAGAAAGGGGGACAGAGGATCCAAAGCAGGCCCCCCGCTGAGAGCAGTGAGCCCAATGCTGGGCTCAAACTCACAAACTGTGAGACGGTGACCCGAGCCAAAGTCTGCTCAACGGACTGAGCCACCCAGGCACCACAACAACATGGTGTTTTTCCACACCACCCACATACCTTATAATCATCTATCATACGCCTGATGTTATATATCACAGATCATATAGTGGAACACTTTGACAGAGGTGGTTCTCACTTCCTGAATTTATATTAGATCCCAAAGTGAATAAAAGATGGGACTGTATTTTTTTTTTTAATGTTTTTATTTATTTTTGAGACAGAGACAGACAGGGCATGAGCAGGGGAGGGACAGAGAGAGAGGGAGACACAGAATCCGAAGCAGGCTCCAGGCTCTGAGCTGTCAGCCCAGAGCCCGACGCGGGGCTCGAACTCACGGACCGTGAGATCGTGACCTGAGCTGAAGTCGGACGCTTAACCGACTGAGCCACCCAGGCGCCCCAAAAGATGGTACTTTAAAAGACTATAGATAAGCAATTTGGCTCCCCACATGCCAGGCAGCAGGCCATTCCTCCAGTTAGGAGAGACGGGAAAGCCAGCCACGACCAAGAGTCTTCATGTCTCTTACGGGTCAATATTGCCTAAGGCTGTCTTGTCCCTCTGCCATTAACATGAGTTGATGGCCTCAGAGGTGAAGAACCCTTACCCAGGGAGGAGACTAGTTAGCTTTGACTGCATAATTTTGAACTTAATTTTTTTCTACGCCACACATAACTTTATGTAAATGCAAATCGTATGTGCTTTTTTTTTTTTTTTTTTTTTTTTTGG